TTTCAGTTTCACTTACTGATAGAACCGGTTCCCTATATGCAACTGCTGTGGATATTGAAGCTGAAAAATTGGTTGGATATTCAACAAGTGAACTTTGTCATACAACCTAGCAAGTAATTATTTATTCCTTTTATTTACACACAAAATTTTTACCCCTTTTTTTCATTGTATACATTAACATTATTTGTTATTCTTTTACTGTCAAACAGAATCTTAATATTGTCAGCCTCATTGCACCAAAATTGCACGGAAGAACACTTATTTCCTGCATTCAACCTTCTCCTCCAACATTCAGGCAGTCTCAAGTAACAGCATTCAACATTATAACTTCATACTTTCTGGATTAGTACAAACTTAATTAAGGGAAAAATTTAGTTTTCAGCATTAATTTAAGAAATTTGCCGAGACAAACCTACCACGATGAGATGTCCAATTAAAAACAAAGGGAAAATTGCATTAGTACCCAAAAGAAATCACAAGAATATCATTTACCAAATACCATAAAACTGTGTGATTTTCATTTCTAATCAGTATGCCAGCAAGTTCTTTTTCACTAGCTTTTTTTTAAGCCAAAACAAATATAGAAAACCAAGAACAAAAGAAATTTTCAAAACATACAAGATTGTTAGCTAATATAAGATTCTCAATTCTTAACCAGAACTTTTAAGAAAACGGCTATTCCTTCTTCTTTTACACAATTGCTTTAACAAAGCGAAAATAAATTAATTAATTTTGGATAGAGATCTGATTAGTATGGGGACCATGAAAACGAAAGGTGTCGAGATGATGGTGCAACGGTTGATAGCATGGCGGACGAGCTTGATCAAATCTACCCCAGATTGTGGCTGGCCATGGCAACATCTCATCCCCATGCAAGTTGCAACCAAGACCTTAGGCTGAAAACTTCAGGCCTTTCGAGCCCATCTAGATTCTCCTACTTTCGATCAGAAGCTCTGGTAGTATTACCCTGTTGAATGCTTCAATTTGTATGTCATGGACTGAAATTTAACAATGCCAAAATGTAAGCCAGAACAACTAGTATCAATTTTCCCGTCGATATTTGAATGGCATGTTCCATGGCGATTACAAAATAACAAGAAATGTAAAAGGAAAAATGGCTATATGCTTTTGACCTTTTGATGATAACGAACATTTTGTAACATGAAAAACTTAAAAACAAAATATAGTCAAATGGGATGAAGGATGTGCATCGACACTTGGAAGTTCATTGGAATCTGAATTTTGTTATAGAAATCCTCAAGCGTGGAGAGCGTAATCTATGATGCCTAAAGCAGAGCTTCCTGCAATTAGACAAAGCCCTCATTTATTAAAGCAACGTGAAATTTTCTGTAACCTGTACCGTGTCTCTCTATGTCATCTGAATGCAATTACAGATGTACTTTTTTTTCTTTATGGTGAATCTATTTGGTCATCTATTATTGGTGAATGAATCAATCAGGATACTATCTGTTCCTTAGTATGGAGATGATTATTAACCTTAAGTTGAATTAGTCTTTTTCACATTATCAGTGTAAAATTTTTTTACAATAGCGCCTATACATATCCTATAATTTCAACTCAAATTTACAATTTATTCTTTGCATATGTGATATATACACACATACTAGTGTTAAAGAAAAATATTTACACTAACAATGTAGACAACATTAATATGTAAAGTTAGTAACTTCCACTTTGTGTTTGTCCAATTCATATAACTTTTGGTCAATAGAAACATGGCCTTTTCCTTTTCAGTAGCAATAATCAAATAAAACCTTCTTTTTTTTTTTACCAATAGTGAGGGGTATATAATTGCTGGACAGTTGGTTCCCACTTGACTTAAATGAGACCGATTAACGAGCTTTAAATTTGGGATGAAAAGGTTATTAACATTTGGTTTTGTCTTACTGGTGTCAAAGGGGCGCCGGCTAAGGTGGAATTTTTATGCTAGTTTTTAGTAAGTGAAGTCAAATTTAGACAGTTAATCTTTTAAACAGTAACTTTCCCGTTTTACAAATTTTGCGAAAGTTATAATGTCTTATGGATTTCACTTTTTTCTTTTACCTTTTCCTGAAAGTTTCCCTTTTGATTTCAACCAAATATTGCACTATTAATCCTTTGGCTTTTTCTAGCATAAGAAATAAAGGGATGGGTCATTATAAAATTCAAACGACATTAACCACCTAATTACGTGAACTTTTGCCTACAGAATTGTAGACAACTCAATATTGGACCCACCTCTTATTCTGTACCTTAAGTATATAAAATAGAAGAATCCTAACTCAAAAAAATTCTATGTAGTTTTCTAACAAAGCCGACCAGAATTATAAAGATCATAGAAGAGTTCCTCCCCAATGTCCAGACTGCCCCAGTAGTAATTGTAACAGTAGGATACAGTACTTGAAGAAGAACTCTGAAGAAGGGAAGACGATCAATGGTACAAAATGTAACGGGCTGCTGGGATCAGGGGTCTAACAAGTTAAATTTTATTTGAAGTTCAAACCAGTTCATGTAATTATTAAAAAATTTTAATGCAAGCCTGTACAATTTTGGATATGAATTTAAATTTGTTAACTAATACAACTAAGTTGCTGATTAAAATTGTACAAGCTTATATTAAATATGATAAAAATTACACCAATCGATTTGTGACTGATTTGATTTCAACTTGGTCCATAATCCCGCTGCTATTGGTGGAGTCCCACAAGTGTTGTGCACTTACCACCCAATTGGATTTTATTTGCACATTTTTCTTATCTTTCCCACTTCATTGTCACTTGATTGACTTATCTCTGGTGGATTTGGGGTGTTACAATTTGTGTTTCATACAATTTCACACAAGTTAACTTCTTGTGTAAATTAGTAGGATTTCGGTGTGAATCAGATCTAGTTTAATATAAATCAATCAAGTGCAATTTACTGATGTAATTTGTTATTATTTGGTGTAAATCAGATATACTTTGGTGTAAGTTGATTATTAATATTTAGCGTAAGTTGAGGGCAATTTAGTGTAGATTGAGAGTAAATTATTAATTTACATTAACTTGTGCGAAATGGAACTTGTAAGGCCCATTTCCATCTCTGTTCTAGTTTCAAACTCGGCGGCTTCGTACCGAGAAACAACAAAAAGCCGGTTATTAGATCACAACAACGAGAGATGCTAGTCAAGGACACAAACCCATAATAAAGTTACACAAATATATATGTATATATATATATAGACACACTTATATATATATATATATATATATATATATGTGTATAAATGTACGTACACATAAGGATAAAAAAAAAATGCCGGTTCGTGAAATTTCACATTCTTCTGCATTAAATACCGGATCTTGAAAAAAAGAAAAGAAAAAGAAAAAGTTCCGTGGTATTTGAACCTTTGTAGGACCAAAATACTCGACACGAGCAACTTCAAAATGCAAGCATAAATTTGCTTTCACCATATAAGAGTCGACTTGTATCTTCCATTGATCTTTGTGCTCCGTTTATTTTCATCATAAATAGATAAATGTTGTCCTTGCCCTCTTAAGAAGTTCAAAATCGAAAGGCCCCGCCCTCTTAAGAAGTTCCAAATGAGTTTTGGATTCTCTACAGAAGAAAACACCCAATAAAACATGCAATCAATTTCTTCTTTTATTGGGTAAGTTACATGCAAGTCTTCTGAAAGCAACTTTTCCTTAAAATAAACATACGTACGAGAATAATAAATAACAATGATTGATGCTAAATAACTCAGGTTAATACTCAGAGCAACACTCCAAATCTTGATCATATCTTGAAGAGTTGACGTAATTGTTTAACAAGACTTTTACTGATTCAACCTCTCTTTCCCTCTTGTATTCTCTCGATCTCCCAGGATGCATCTTATAGTCTGTCTTCGCCAACAATCCTTTCTAAGAAGAAATCAATCAAGAGCCAAGCAAACAAGCTGAGCCATCTCCATACAACTTTTTCTACACTAAGCAATTAAGGTACGTTCAATCTTTCAAATCTCTATGCTATACAGTTTTGTTTTCTTCTGCTTTTTGTGATATGTACGCTGCAGGGTTTTCTTTTGTTACAACTGCTTTATGCAAATCCCTTAGTCAACGAGTAAAGCCACAAATTTCCAGTCCCTATTGCTTCTAAGTCTTCTAATTCAAAGCGGTTTATGTGCGTCATTTTGTCTTCTTGATTATTGCTGCTTAGCTAACAGGTTTTTATATGGTAGGTATGGATGATCGTCCAGCATTTTAGGCTCATACATAATCGTTTTGACTACTTTGATCAAGACACAAAATTAAGATCTTCTGAGTCCATTGTATGCTGGTCTGTTAAGTTCCCTCGTTGTTGACCAAATTTGCAAATATAGCTTTCAGTTCCGAGTTAGTTCAACGATTGGTAGCCAATTAAATCAACTTGATTCCATACAACTTTTTTTTTTTGGTGAATAACTTTTCACAACATTAGTAAACGAAACCATCCTTCATACTTTTCTTTTTTGATTCGTTACAAAATTGCATTACATAATGTCAAACTCAGGGATTTCAAATTTTATATTGGTACAACTAGCAACAATAGATATTTTTAACATTATTATGGATCCCACATCGTCTTTAATACTTGTTATTCCTTCCATCTCATTGAATATGTCATGCAGTTCCTTTTAGGTCTGTCTCGAAACTCATGTCACTTACTAAAGATAGCAATAAAAATTTGGGCAAATTACATTTTAGTCCCTGTGATTTTCGCAAAAACCACATAACCTCCTCATGATTCTAAAAGTTATACATAAATCCTTTGTGATTTGGGTTGAAATGTCAAACATACGGAAAGCACCCATCGTGACGATTCATAGGCGAAATGTCCAAATTACCCTAATATAAATACAAAAAGGAAGCAGATGAAGTCAGATTTTCCTTTGCTCTAGTCTTTGTTGTGAAAGTAGCTGTGAAAGAGTGAGTATCTGTGAAAGAATATCACGAAAAAGTATTTTGAAAGAAGAGCTCTAGTCATGGTTTCATGCTGCATAGGAGCTGCTGCTTGTCCCTGTCTAGGCCCCCGCCATTGATTCCATACTGCCCTTCTCCGTTGTTACCTTCGCTGCCATGACCAGTACTACTGCTGCCATATCCTGAGCCAGGGCCCCTGCGCCAGCCCTTGCCATAGCCATAGCTACTGCCCCGACTCCCTTGCCTGCTGCTTGCACCAGGACCATAGCTACCATCATTCCATCCACCACCATTACCGCCGCCATCTGGACCACCACCTCCACCCGATCCAGACCCACTACCACCACCTCTACCCGACCCACCAGCATTACCACCTACAGAACCATATCCATTGCCATCATTGCTGCCTCCGCTTCCAGCCCCATAACCACCACTGTTACCATCTACAGAGCCATATCCACTGCTGTCATTGAAAGAGATAAGGAGCACAGATCTAGGTTTTATTGGGTCCGTTAAAGTGGTCAGGGGTAATATGAAAATGTTTCTTACTGCTACCAATGGTACAAGTGTGTTTAAGTCACGAATAATTACGATGAGTGCTTTCCGTTTGTTTGACACTTCAACCCAAATTAAAGGAGGTTTATGTATAGCTTTTACAGTCAAGGGGGGTTATGTGATTTTTGCAAAAATTATAGGGGATAAAATGTAATTTGCCCTAAAAATTTTCATCCATTTCATTCATGATCTTAAATACAACATCAGATTCTTATCTTTTTGTGGATCCACAAGTTCACTTACTAAATAAAGATGCACATGATGGTGTGCCAGTACCACGTTGGAAGCAAGAGGGGGTCGTGCATTACCCCTGCTTCAAAAGAGTTTGAAAACATTTCTTAGGATTGGGTCAGACAATCTTGTCATCACTGTCATAATGGATCAACAAGCCAGACTCCATAAAATTTGTCTCGTTATTTTTTTAGTGTCTAAATAATAAAGAGTGTGTTTGGATAGGAGATTATTTGAGATAATTTTTTAAAAAAAAATACTGTAACACTTTTTTGATACGATATACGTGAGATAAAAAGATGATTGGAAAATGTATTAATGATGCAAGTAAGTCAGCGTGTATAAATAAGGTGTAAATAATGTGTAAACCAATTTAGATAATTAATTTCCCTTTCCTATGAAATCGATATCTGAATACCTTTTGTACTAGCAAAAGATTTGGCTCGTGCAAGTAAAAAAAAAAAGGTAAATAAACTTTTACATTAATCCACAAAGATTGCACAGGTGCTTGCAAGTGCCTGTATATGCACTACTTTTAGCAATTTTAGAAATTTTGGTAACTATGGGAGTCTCAATCACCTGCTTAAACCATTATTTTTAAACTCAAATTGGACCGGTTGGTTTAGTGGGTTGAACTGGAAACTGGATCCAATTCAATTCAAGTCAACAAGGTAAATCGAAGAGCAATTTACTCAGTCAAACCTGGTCCAAAAGGGAGTTTGGTTCGTCAAAATTGGGAGAAAATGGAAATTTTAAAAAAAACAAATTTTCAATCATTTTGGTTTTAATGCTTTTTTTTTTTTTGCTTTATACTTTTTCAACCTTTCCATTAATTTCTATTAACTTTTATTTTATAATCAAAACTTTTGTAGTACTTAGTTTTAATCTTTGGCTAATATTGACAATTATAAATGCTCTCATGAATTTTTCTTTGAAATTTTAATTACAATCTTTCTTTCCATATTTTGTCAAATAGGTCCTAAATATGTAGTATAAACTCATCAATTTTGATTTAAAGTTTAAGAACACTATAAGAGATATTTTTATAGGTTTTTTCTCTATTGTTTAATATATTTATAATATTATTTTGGTTCTATAAGTTTAAGAATAGTAATATCTACTGTTTTATTAGTTTAAGAATAGTAATATTTATAACGTTTTGAATAAAAGAAATACTAGCTCCATCCTCTTTTCTTAATTTTTTTAATTAATTACTTATATCATTCAAAGAGCATTTTGGAGACACTAAAGTGAATTTATGACAAAAGTAGTTAATTTCCCTCCTTTGATAAGAGTATGGGGAGTTATCTAGCAAAAAAATGGGAGGTCCTTGTTATTTTGAAATCAATTGAGGTGGTTCCATAATTTGCCTTGTTATTTTGAAATCAATTGAGGCGGTTCCATAATTTTCCAAAAACTAGAGAGAAAGTTAGCATAATTAACCTTTTAATAAAATTTAATTCATTAAATTTAAGTATTTAATGGAGTTTTCAAACACTCCATAATCATCGAAACTACAACTAAGATTATAGTAATGAATTCTAATTCACAAGCTATTGTGTCCAAATTAATTACACGCAATTACAATAACTGTAAGTAGTTAGACAAACAACATAATTGGATATTTTCCTCAGTTGTTGCGGATCTCTGAAGTGTATAAAATTTTGTGGCTTAAATTTTAACTTAAACAACATTACTGAAATTTTACAAGGTAAGTTGTGGTTCAATTTCAGACCTATTCAATTTGAACACAGTGTCCGATCTACTGGAGATACCGAAATATAATCACCTGAAGCACATTCCTTCTTTGTCCATCACTCACCAACTTTAGTACTCTTATTAAACCTTACCAGAAGTTGTATGCAACCCTACCCCTCCCCAGTCACCCGTTTTGATCTTATAAGTTATAGGTGGCAAATCAATCCATTTAATTAAATTTGCTCGTACCCGTCCATGAATAGATAGGTATAGGTATTTTAAGTTTTTGCATATGGTATAAATAGGTTACCCAATAATATCCATTTAATACCCATCAAACCCAATTAATCCATTTAGAATTGTTTCCCCCAAATCCCTCTCTTCCCCCGCCCATTTTTTTTTTCAGATTTTTCATTTTGTTATGATGTTAACTACTTTTGTTTCATTATTATTATTATTTGTTGGTTTTATTTTATCATTTCATTTTATAGTACTTAATTTAAAATTTTATATTCTTATTATTCAATTATTAAATAGTATGTAATTTTGCGACATAGAGTAGGATAGGAAAAAAATTAATAATTAGGTTTATTGAACATTATAAGTAAATATTTAAAACTAATGATGGGTGCAAAGAGTGGTATAAATTGATAACTTAGTTTGCAAAAATGAATTTAAATGAGTTTACAAAAAGTTAAAATAAATGGGTTATGAATGGGTAATTCGGTTACCCAATTCATTTTTTGACTTACCCGTTTATACCCATCTATTAAATGGGTATAAATGGATTGACTCACTTATACCCATTATTCATTTTACCGAACCTAAACCCGTCTAAATCACCTATTTTGACACCTAAGTGCATGATAGCCTTGTCGATCTGTTAGCTCCCAAGTCTATCCGTGTAAAATGTAAGACATTTCTCATCAACTTCGACCATATTAAAATTTGTTGCTAAGTTTTGCAACATTTCGGAAACGAAAGGTGCAAACAGAAGGTTCGAATGACGCCCTTCTTAAAGATGTCCAAAATTTTCTGTTAGGGTTGTGGAGATTTCAAAACTCGTAAAGGGGGCATATATTTTGCTTAATTTCCATCAAGAGGTGAATGTACATCATTATTGTGGTGAAAATAAACATCAGCACAAAAATGTGTGGAATGATGCAAATGTTACGCTTTTGTTTACAAATTGGGATAACTTCAGAAACCTCTCTTGAGGTTTCAATGGTTGCATTAATCTTCCATGTCAGAATTATGGGGTCCATTGCTTACGTCATTTGGTGTGAAATTACTACTCTACCCTAACGTTTAGGGTTTATTCCGAACTTTTTTAGAAAAAAAAAATCTTTGCAATAATTAAAAGAAACAAACTAAACAAGCGAGAATTTTGTTAAGTTTCAGAGTACATGTGCACAATTAATATAGACAAAATGCTTTTAATTCCATGGTTGCAACAAATTATTAGGCCACATAAGTTGTTCAAACTTGATAATTCTGTTGAACTTGGAATTTGAACCTTTTTGTCCCACAGCTCAACTAAAGATTTCAAGATTTTTTTAATCATAAACATTGTGAGATTTAGAGAGTTCTAAGATTTGGAACTTAATGACAATTATAATGTCATGAAACAAAATGACTGTCAAGTGAATATGTTGGCAATTTTTTTTCTTTTATTACACTCTAAATAACGGTCGCGTTTCTTTTGTCGAAGGTGAAAGGAAAAAAACAAAAGATGAAGGGAGTGAAAGAAGAAAAAGACATAACAAAGATAGAATGAAAAATCAGAAGGTTCAGATACCAAATTACAGCATATTTTGGTCTCACAATGGATCACATGAAATCCAATTTTTTTTACATAACAAAGATAGAATGAAAAATCAGAAGGTTCAGATACCAAATTACAGTATATTTGGGTCTCACAATGGAACACATGAAATCCAATTTTTTTTAAAAAAATATTATGAAGGAAAGCGAGACTGACGTCTTCTTTTTTTTTTTTTTTTTTGTCGAAACTATAGGATTGTGGGACTGAGGTCATATAAGATTGACCAACTTACTAAAGGGGAATTCGAACTCAATTATCAAGTTTGAACAGCTTATATAGCCTAATAATTTGTTATGCCTATGGATTAGAAAAATGTTGTCCAAATTACTAGTGGAATAAAACTAAAGGAAGGAAGCAAAAGGGCATTTGTGAAATAAAATTATTACCTCACTCATCGAAATACTTTTTTAATGGTACTTTTTCTGACTTGGTCTTATTTGTTACCAAAAATTGAAAAGTAAAGAAGGTCAATGAAATTTTCCAATCCTCAGGAGAGGTCAGAGCAACTGTCAAAATTCTCAAGGGAGTTTCTAAAATTATCCCTTACAAATTACAAAGGTAAATGGAAGTTCAGGATTGGCATAGATACGGTTAGTTATAGGCACAATTGGTACAATTATTGTACTTTTCTCATGATTTAGTGTACACTTACATAACTTTGTTGTATTTCATGATATGAAATATAACGAAGTTATTTGAGCGTATATCAAATTGTTAAAAAAGTACAATGACCACACCAACCACACCTAAGACCTACCATTCTTTGTTCAAAACCCTACTCGGGATGGCAGCTCACAAATAGCTTAGTCAAAAATTTGGCTCGAGTTTGATCAAAGTCAAGCTCGAGTCGCCCGAATATATAAATGAGCTGATTTCAAATTCAAAAGTATTCTGCTCGAGAAGCTCCTTGAGTTTACACATTCTTTTTCTTTATCTTTTTACACTTATGAATTACTCATATATCTTAGGTCCAAGGGTATATTGCAAGTCCTACCAAATTATATGTGAAATAGTTTGGGGTTTTGTCTTTTTATTAATAATAAACAAAATGTGTTACTCAAGCAACGGCTCAAAATCGAGCTTGAACTCAAGTTTATATCGAGTTTGAGCTCAATCCAAGATCCATATGCTATCTCAAGCGAGGTTGAGCATCTCATAGTTTTGTTGAATCAACCTCGAGTAGCCATAATGAGTGTTTGTCAAGTGAGAGCTCAAGCTTGAGTACATTAATTCGAACTTGAGCTCAAGGTCAAGCATGCCAGTGTTCGGGCTCCACTAAACTCATAGAAGTCCCACAACATGGAGTCATTCAACAAAAATTGACGTGCTATTACTAAATTTCTTTTAAAAGAATAGACAAAAAGACTAGAACCATGATCAATCTATTCCAAAACATCTGACTGAATTGGTAATTTAACCGATCACATGTATAGTGTCTTTGATTTTGGTTTATAATCAATACTCTCGCTTTCTCAAAATCTAAGCACATTAGAAATTTCTGACATCCATTATGTGCTATTTCGACTTAAAGTTTATACATGCCTAACTCAAAATTGAATTCTCTCTTTAACAATTGATTTTTCAGGATGCCATCCTGCTTACCAAACATTGCTGGAGGCGTAATAGCGCCTGGTTTTCAAGCCATTAAAGGTGCAAGCACGTGTTTGAAAGACAAATACGATAAAGTGAAGAAGATTAAGCAGAACTTGGATAAACTCGAAAACGAAGAGAGATTGGTTCATGCTACCAAATCAGATTTGGAGGATGCAATTGCGAGGAACAGTATTAATATGGAGCCAACCGAAACAGCCAATACTTGGCTTGAGCTGGTAAAGGAGAAGGAAAGAGAAGTCCAAGAACTGAAAAACAAATATCTTCATGTCCATAAGTGCCTTTGCGGGATGTGGCCATTCTATAAGCTTATGAAGCTCAGTGAAGATCTAATGGAGAAAACGGATGAACTGAAAGAGTTAAAAGCCAGCATTGACTTGCAGAATGCATTGAGGGAGAAGAAATTCGATGCAGGGGAAATAAAGCTTGCTGGAGATGAAGATCATATCCCTATATCAATTACTGAGACGGTAGAAGAGCTGCTGAAGTGGCTGGATGATAAAGAGGTGAAGAGGATTGGCATATGGGGAATGGCAGGAGTAGGAAAAACCCGTATCTTAAAGCACCTGAACGACAAAACATACCAATTGGGTATGTTCAATCCCATTATATGGGTGAATGTTCAGAAAGAAGGTACTGTCAACAACATTCAATCAGATATTTCGGCATGGTTAAAGCTAGATGTTCAACCCAAGGACACGACAGAACATGTTGGAAGAAAAATATCCAAGGCCCTGGAGGAACTTGACTATTTATTGCTTCTCGATCAATGTCCTGGAGATATCAATCTCGAAGATGTGGGAATTCTTCACAAGCACAAGGGAAAGGTAATTGTTGCATCCCGTGACAAACCTGACTGTGCTGCAATGGATATTCATAGAGTATTCAAAGTGAGCAAGTTGTCTGATGGTGATGCAGAGGAACTGTTTCAGAAAACGGCAGGTGATTATGCAGATCATCCGCACATCCAAGGAACAAAAGAGCAAATACTCAAACAACTAGGTGGTCTCCCACTTGCAATCAAAGCTATTGCCATAAGATTAAAAGATCAGCCGGAGTCCGTTTGGTATGATACATTGAGGGAGTTGCAATCTCCGAAGAACTTTGGTGATCAATTTGAGGAACTCTTCAAGGCTTTTGAGTTCTCTTACAACAATCTACCTGGGGATGATTTCAGGAAGTGTTTACTTTACGGGGCATTATTTCCACCAGATTATCAAATTGACAAGGATTATTTAACCGAATGTTGGATATCCGAGCAATTTATTTCTGCCATTGAGCTAGCTGGAGCAGAAACTAATGTCCAAGAATTAAGTGTATCACGAGACAGAGGACACAGAATCCTGCAAGCACTTACAGAAGCATGTCTATTTGAGTGGTGTTCCAGGTCAAATTTTCTCACCATGCCCACTCCTTTTAGAAAGATTGCACTGACATTTACCTACCCACAAGAAGGAGGCAGCAGCCTACTAGTGAGAGGACAAGAAGAATTGACTAGTCCTCCAGAAAGGGAACAATGGATAGGCGCAAAAAGGATCTCGCTAATGTGCAACCAACTCAGGTCTTTGGCTGAATGCCCTGAGTGTCCAACAACTACAACACTATTGCTCCAGAAAAATAAAGAGCTGGAGACAATTCATGAATTTTTCTTTGATTCTATGACGCAGCTCAGAGTTCTTGATCTCCATCACACCAAAATACAATCACTACCACCATCTATCATCAAGTTAGTTAAACTGAAATCCTTGTATCTCAATGAGTGCTGGGGTTTGGTTTCACTATCCGAACATCTTGGAAAACTTACCAATCTCGAGATTCTTGATATCCGTAACACAGGCCTGCAGAGCTTGCCAACTGTAGTTGCACAGTTAGTAAGCCTGAGGTGCCTGAGAGTTTCCTTTGTTTACGATCATAATAATGAAGATAATCAGCCACGACAGATTATTCCCCATAATGTGATTGGCCTACTTTATCATCTTGAAGAATTGACCATCATTGTCGATCCTAGAGAACAAAGCTGGAATGACGTTGTCACAAGTGTTGTCGAAGAGATCACAAACTTAGAAAGTCTGACTACACTTTTCATCTACTTCCCAAAAGTAGAATTCCTCACTACTTTCATAGATGAAAGTCGCTCCTGGAAAAATACAAGGAGATATCGGCAAGATAACAGTTTCAGAGCATTCAGAATCATAGTTGGCTCAAATGGAGAAAACCATAACAAGGGGTTACATAGTTCTAGAGGACCAGCTGAACGGCACCTGAGATTTTCTGCAGGTGAAAATGTCTGTTGTGAAGCAATTCGAAAGGTTCTCAGAAGGTCCAGTGCTTTTGAATTGATTGGCAACCAAGACACTAAAAGTTTATCAGACATTGGAATTGACTGTATGAGGTCGTTGGCAGTTTGTGTAGTAGAAGGCTGTGATCAGATCAGCTCCATCATCAGCTGTGGCTCTGATGCTGCTAGGATTGTATTTCCATTCCTTGAGAAGCTACATCTGGTTAACCTCAAGAGTTTGTGCTGCATAGTGGATGGTTCTGTCGGTACCCAAAGCTTCTCCAAATTGACAAGCATAATAGTTCTTGAGTGTAGCAAGTTGAAGAAGCTTATTTCACTTGGAATGGTTAAAAATTTGGAGAATCTCAAGCATCTGAAGATTCAAGATTGTTTGGGGATTGAAGAGGTGATAGAAACCATGGAGATACTGCCGCCCAATGGAGAATTGCTCAACCTTACTGGCTTCCTGCCAAAATTGGAGATTCTGGAGCTCGTGAATCTTCCACTTCTGGAAAGCATATGTAAGAATGACTCACTAGATTGGCGTTCCTTACAGAAAATAGAGATCATTGATTGCTCCAAGCTAAATACTTGGTCGAGAGGGATGTACAATGCACAGCATTTAAGAAACATTGAATGCCAAGAACCCTGGTGGGGTCAGTTGCAGTTACCTGATGAAGTTAAAGGGCAGCTAAAGAAGAGGTGTTATTTCATCTGGAAAGAAGTACCTTCTGTTTATTATACACCAAGGGAGGATAGAAGTCATCAGCCTCCTGACATGCTAAGCATGTCTGACCGATTCGAGCAACACCGGATGCGCCATGAAGATTCAATCTCCCAAGGAAGCTCATCAAGGAGGTATAGTCCTTGATTTTCCATTCGGATGTCCTCAGTGGAAATATGAAATGATTTCCTCTTTTTCTTTCTCATATTTCGTATGTTAATCTCAGTAATCGTGTCCTAAAACTGATAGATGCATAAGTTCTTCAGCTAGAATTTATGATCTCCAAGTGATCAGTCAATTTTACATCTCGCAAGCTCAAAGGATGTGATAAACAACCTTAGACACCAATCTTGAGTTTCTTACTTCATGTTATATTTAGTTTTTGGTATGATTCATAAGCATTTTGTAAGAATGAAGTAGAGATTTTGCCATCTCCTTCGCTTCTACATATTATCATGACTTCCATGATAAAATGAAGTTTGTCATAATTAACAACGTGTAGAACTTCCCTGTAAATTTTATTCAGCGTACTACGAATAAAATATTTTCTGCACATACCGTTGTGCATCTAATTGAAGGTTAAGTGTAAGAGACTTCAAGTAATTGTTTTGAGAGAATTGGTAGACAAATATTTTGAATGGTTAATTGCGATTTAATCATGCACATGCAAACAAGTTCTAATTATTGAAAACTATGAGAAGCGGTCCTTATTATGGATATTCTCATACAATTGCTTTTGCCATATTGGTAAGCCCCAATTCCCCATCTTCATTGCAGAAGTAGTAAATAGTCTAGTGCGAACCTTAATTCTAACACCACAACAAAAGAAAATGAAATAGTAAACAACTTGTCTATTGAATCATACATGCTTATTATTAACATAAATAATCTAAAGACTATCTATTCAAATGCGATTCGAATTTTCTAATAGTAATCTGACTCTACCAATTCCAATCACCATCAGCCCCAACAAACGCATAAACATACTCATCCTCTGTATAAAAATATTAAAGTCTTGGGATAAGCATCACTATACTCGGTGAGTAAAACATAACACTCTTGCTAGATCAAGTATGTTACATACATACATACATACATACACATATATATATATATATAGAGGGAAAATCATTCAAAACGTCCCTTACATTTTGTAAAATGATTTTTTTCGTCCCTCACTTTTAAAAGTATAATTTTATATCCCTCACAAATTCACATTGATCAAATTTGGTCCCCACCTAGGTTTTCGACTAATTTTTGTCGGAATCCATCACGTGTCTTGCATGTGATCATTTTTTAAGGGTAAAATTGTCAAATCAATTTTACACAATTCAATCCAGAGTCCCTCATATTTTACAAAATGAATTTTTTCGTCCCTCACATTTCACAAAATAAACTCTTTTATTCCTCATATTTTACAAAATGAATTTTTTTCATCCCTCACATTTTACAAAATGAATTTTTTCATCCCTCATTGATCATATGTATAAATAATTTTTTTAAATCCACGTTTGTATTTATTTGATTTCACCTAAGTAATACAAATAACATATGTGTAACTACAATTAGCCTATTTAGACGAAATCAAATAATTTGGACATTGTCGAGTGTTTATATGAAATTAAATTTGGACAAAAAATAATCAAACGAAAAGTATGACAAAAAAAGTATGTAATTGGCACTTTCAAATTTTAAGACAATCATAAGGCAAGTAATTCAACTGTTAGTCTTAAAGGAGACGAGTAGAAATTTTAGATTTAAACTGCAATTCATTAGCATGACTAAAAAAAAAGACTATAGAATAAAAGTTATTGTTTGAAAAAAAAAAGACTATAGAATTCGAGTTAGGACCCATTAATTAGATGATTTTATTATACAACTCAATAAATGAATTGCTACCAAAAGAGAAAAGACCACAAATATTGAACAAATTCACATCGTGAAATCAAATAGATATATACATGGGTTTAAAATAAAATTGTTAGTTTTAAACCCATGTATATATCTATTGAATAGCATGTGTACAATTATAATTAACTTGTTTAGGTGAAATCAAATAAAGATATATTATATGCTATTCGTACTATTCAGGTGAAATCAAATAGATATATACATGGATTTAAAAAAACTATTCATGCGCACGGTCAATCAGGGATAAAAAATTCATTTTATGAAATGTGAGGGATGAAAAATTCATTTTGTGAAATGTAAGGGACAAAAAAATTCATTTTGTGAAATGTGAGGAACTGTGGATCAGATTATGTAAATTTTGATTTGACAATTTTACCTCTAAAACATAATCACGTGTAAGGCACATGATGGATTCTGACTAAAAACTAGTCAGAAATCTAGGTAGGGACCAAAGTTGATCAAAGTGAATTTATAAGAGACGTAAAATTACATTTTTAAAAGTAAGGGATTAAAAAAGTTATTTTATTAAATGTGAGGGGTGTTTTGAACGATTTTCCCATATATATATATATATATATATATATATATTCATACATTTGGAAATAAGTGTATACATAAGCACACAAATTACACTAAGATAAATCATTCTTTGCACATTTGTATAACATATAAATATTCATTAAACATTTATCGACTCTTAACAGTTACACACCTTTAACAACGCTGAGTACTCAGTCTAGTGATTAACTTCACTAGAACGGGAAGTCAAATGAACATTCGGAGTACACTTTGACCAATATTGCATTTTACTTTACTTTATATTGATATTTCTAAGACAATAACCCCTATAGATTATGCCGTGACATTTAGAGCCATTACATCAGCATTCACGTTCACTCAAACAATTCATGCTACATTGAATAAACATTTACATTTAACATGCGATATACATATAACTTTCATAGTAAGAAACATTTAGGTGCGACAAATATAATCATACAAGTTCCATTTTCATATGGAAAGTAACACTTCATTAAACATTATAAAAGCGTATTTATGAAAATACAGAGTGAATCCCACTCACCTCAATTAACTTGATAGGAAGTCCTACTAGGGTTCTTGATCCTTGCCTTCTAACCATAGAGAAATGACATATAAATCTATTACTTTACTGCATTGATCATTCAACATTTATTTTTTAAATCATCCCTAGAGGTGTGTAACCATAGGATACTTAACATTCCTAAACATGTAAAATTTCTATATTTAACATTTCCCTTTCACGTAAGCTTCCCATTTAGAAAGTTTCCCTTCTTAGAAGGCTACTATTTTGGCAAGTCTTTCTAACTTTGGATAGAACCCTAATTTACAAAGGTCCATATTCTTGGAAAGTCAATCATTAAGGAAAGTTTAGTAAAATTAGCTGAGTGTTTATTATTTTAGAAAGGTCATGCATTTAAAGAAGTCTTTTAATTAGCTTAACCAACTAGGATGCCACCGTTATTAAGTTACCATTTGCAGGCCATAACGATCATAAAATGACCTTGATACAAATGCAATTATTGTTGTGAATTAGTAGTAACTTTGGTACATTAAAGGTTTTAAAATTAGCCTTAAAACTAAATGAGACATTTCTGAATAATACATGATAATTATAAAATGATTAATCTTCTATATACTGACAGTGTATATACTTTCACCATTAGATGCATGACACATAATCTGAATTCAAATTTGAAACTCCAATTTTGCATATATATCGTATATCCAACCGTGATCGTGTATACTTCGTCAGTATATATAAGATTTACTCATTATAAAACTAGGCTGCTAATTAACAATAATTACTTTTAATGATCAAAATGATCATATTACTTTTCTCAAAAGTACATGTAACCGGTGACATCATTAATGAAAGTCATAGCAAGGTGTTTTTGATTCTTGAATTCTTCCTAAGCATACTAATATGCAAGAAACCGAGATAGTCCCTAGTTATATTCTTATAACTTGATCATGTAACTAGTCAGATCTATATTAGTCTAACTCGATGCTTTAGAATTCGTTGAATAAGAAAGAAAGAAAAACTGATATGGATCACATTATAAATCAAGACTATTGGTCTATATTAATCAAAGTGGTATTATAAAGCATTTGCGAGGTACTGAAACTGATGGTCAGTGTTCAAGCCACGAAAACAAATATTAGCATTCTTAGTCTTTAATATTCTATTAATCAACCATGATAAAACGATAGTTTGGCCTGTTTAAATTGTGGCGGATGTGAAATAAAAAGCATGATAGTTCTATGAACTTGTATTTGAACAACGGCCATCCATGATTGGAATTATGAGATTTGATAAACTAACCGTTAATAACTCACAAGTTCTTCTAGCATAATTACGATCTAGCAAAGCATGCTTAAAGAAAGGTATACTAATTTAAGGTTCTTATTAATTTGTATTAAAGGATTTAAATCAAAAAGATTGCAGTAACAGATTTGGCTCCATTCTTAATGCATGTACAGAGCCACATAGGACAATGGAATCATGTTCGCAACTTTATATTATTCATGCATTCTTGAGCCTCCAAGTAAACACTACATTCAATGACCAGTACGTTCTTAAAGTAATCAGTAGTTTGCTAAAAGTGAAAACTCATGCAGGTCAAACTTTAATTTACTACATGACATAAGAAAGATCATCCCATGAATTAATATATCTATGATTTTCAGATCGGCTGCTGCTACCACTAATACCACTAGATTTGATCAAGAAAGATGCTTAACTGACTAATAACGTATAAAGCCGACAAGATCGAGTTCTTGCTTGACAAATTACCGCGATGATCGGCCTTCCTTCTCCCTCTCCTTGTCAAGCCCCTATCGGAAATGTTTTCTTGCTCTCACCCTCAATCTCACCTTGTATCGTAAGAGAAGAAAATAAGATTTAGGCTTTGTGTTTTGAGTATATAAATCTCATGCTAGAATTTATAAACTTTATTTTGGAGAAAACAATGTTATAAAAAAAAAGTAATATGTTAATTAGTTGATTGAAATAAGAAAAAGGAAATAATTTGATTGATCACAAATTAGTCGCTTTACTAAATATGTTACGTCTTGTTAAGAAAACTAAGAAGAATAGAAGTGATCTTAATAGCGATTATATTCATTGAATCTTGTGGCAAAAGAATTTGACTAATAATATTATTTAGTAATGTGGTAAGTGAAAAAAAAATAGG